ATTACACCAAAACTTATGAATAACATATCTAGTAAAAGTTTATAACTAATGTCACAACATTTATTTTCATACAAAACTAATGTCACAATATTATCATTTTTATATTGTTAAGTGAAACGAATGATTTTTTTTTGTTTCAAACTCTGAAATATATAAATTTGCATCGTCTAAAAATCAATTGTATTTTCGTATATTTTATCGTGTACTTTTTTCTAGTTAGTCATTTTTCCCTTACAATTTGGCAAAAACTTATGGTGGTAAACCTGTAAATAAATAGTGTGATATTATATGATGTATATAATTAAGAAAAATATTACTATATTTGTGAATAATTGCGCGAAGTCTAAATCAAAGTATATATTTGGGATTCATTAGTAAAGTTTGGCTTAGATAGTGTGATCAGATTTTTGTTCATCGTTCCACCGAAAACTTTATTTGTTTTTTCTATAGCTCATTCCACAATAATAATCATATGTTTGTTTGTTTTTTTTAACATTTTATTTTATTGAAATTGATTTAGAACATATTACACCATAGAATAAGCTAAACGAATGAAATACAAAGTGAAACTATTGGTGATTTCCACACCGAAAATTGAGTGAAGACAAACATCTTTGATGACACATTATCGATACCAAAATAGTTTTGTTTCGAATCCAAAGTAAACAATTAGGTGTTTCCGTATCCACAATAGCAGTCGGACTTCTAATACCTTTTACGATAACACGACAACAATTCTCCTTTTTAGATAACTCTCCTTCTTAGATTGACTTCGTCAATTTTATTGTGAGATAATTTTGGTGAAGCCACCATTAAAAATTTTTGAACTATATAACTTAAATCAGAATGATAAACAAAAACGAAAAGTCGAACCACCTCGACTTCGATAACCTAAAAACCCACCATAACCGACTGGAGACGTAGCCGCAACCATCGACCGGAGACGTAGCCGCAACCACTGGGGGAGATCGAGCAACATCTACGAAACTAGATCTGGCAAATAGAAAGAAGAAGCGTTGTGTCACTGATGCAAACCCGTCGACCTCTAGGTACCGGTGCTTCCACTTTTGTGTTGACCTACCACCGTTGAGGCTAAAGAGAAAAGTCCTCCTCTTTTCGAAAATTCCAACAACAACCCAAAACGATGGACTTAATTCAAAAAAGAATTGAAGAAAACTAAGAGAATCGAGAGCAAACAAGCGGGAGAGACCAGCAACCGGTGTTAGATGAGCCGCTGGCCACCGGTCAACACCTAAACTAACGAAGGCTGTTTCTCAAGGAAAAGAGATGAGTGAGAAACCTTTAATAATCATATGTTTGTTTATAAATGATTTTCTACTAAAAATACATGAGAAAAAAGTTGCATAGATGCCCAAAGACTAGTTTTTTAAAATGAAATCCTAACACACATTGGAATATAGATGAATCATAACTGTACGAAACGCATT